TAAAAAAAAAATATGGTGAAGCCACATTTTTGAGATGAGGCTAAAAAAGGTGCCAGAGAAACCTCCCTGAAAATCACAACAGATGATATTCCAGTAAGAGGGTGGGGGGGGATTGAAATGGTGATGTTCCGGGAGCAAGACAGGGTCGTGAGATGCCATTTCATCTTCCGTTGCATGGATAGATGATCCTGTAGATATTGTCAGCGGTGAGGGAGTTTGAGGGCGGCTGGGATTGAAGTGGGGTTGTAACAAGAAGTGTTGGTGATGGTGGTGTGTAGGGTAAGTAGGATGTGGTGTTGCTGTTGTGGTTGGTGGTTGTGAAGTTGGGAGAGGGTGGTATGGTTTGGGCCTGTTGTTCTGTCTGGGAAATGGCTGAGGAGATCATGGTCACGATTCTGGCCATAAGTTCTCTCTTCTGTTGCTCTGGCACCCTTTTTAGACTGTTTGAGACACAGAAAGAAAATGGGCCACATTTGACAGTGGGGGACCAGGCTGTGCAATTGCCTCTAGCACCAAGAAGATTGTCAACGAAATGCACAGGTCTTCTCCCTCTATTCAGTATTTAGTTCTGAACTGGCCCTGTGGTGGGTTTGTGCAGTTTCGGAGTAGGTGGGGGTTCTGGTGGTGTAGCTGAGGGTGGTGGTGTAGGGTCAGGGGGTTTCGCTCATTATCGGCAATTTGGGGGCATCCACTTCAGATATTGGGTCTTGTTCTCTTGTTTTTCCTCCTCTCTCTGGCCAGCATGCTTCCAGCTGCTCTCTGTGCTGTAAATAAGTAAAGCATATGTGAATGAATGTGACTGACACTTGCAAATGGGCCAGACCTGGAAATTGCAAGGATAACATACATTTAGATCCTGTGTCTGCAATGACAGCTTAGTGCTTACCTACTACCAATGTCCTTCATTTTTGCACCTAACAGTGTGCTCCCCTAACCACATTTAGCAGCCACATACACTTTCAGGTCTGTGCCATTTGCAAATGTACAGTAGCTGCAGTTTTGAAATTACTATCAAACAAACATTACACGAGCGACGAGTAATGGCCCGCTTCCCGGCTTCCTGATTGGTAACAGAAAACGAAACGAACGTTCGTACCAACGCTACCGAATTTCGTCCGAATTCCGAATCCGAATTGACTTTCACACCCGAATCCTGAAAAACGAAATAACACAAATCCGAATTTAAAACGAAACGAAACGAATTTTTTGGCAGTGCACATGTCTATTGGCCAGGAAGTCGGCTCCATGCTGATGGCTGAAAAGCCGTCTTCCCAGCCAATCAACATTGAGCCGGCTGTTCAGCCGACTCTGTGCTGATTGGCCAGAAAGCTGGTTTACCAGCCAATCAGCATGGAGCTGGCTGTTCGGCCGGCTCAATGCTGATTGGCCGTAAAGCCAGTTTACTAGCCAATCAGCATGATTGGCCGTCTTCCCAGACAATCAGCATGGAGCCTGGGCTACTTCAACAGTAAGCAGCCTCCGGCCTGTCCCAGTGCCACCAAGGGGCATCTAGCTGAACATTCAGGGGCTACCACCGTCCTGGATAAAGTGAACATCCTGGACCTTAAGTGAATAAAGCTTTGTTGATTTTATTTGTCCTTTTCAATGCCGAAAGTCCCTCTTTTCCTCTTCTTTTTTTCTGGCTATGGCAGTAAAGATGAGGAGTGCTGTTACATGCTAGGCTGAAAAATTAAAATTCACAAAAGAGTTCAGTTACCATATAAATGCACAAGGTCACATTCTAAATGTATTTACACCAACCCCTGAACTCCTGGAAAAAACATTATTTACTGCAGAGGGTGTGTTTTTACACCAGTTGATAGACACTGAGGTTGATTTACTAAAGGAGCAGAATATGTTGTCCAGCTTATTGAATAAAGTGAAGCTATGTTTTAATTTTCATAACCAGTCCTGTGCAAGGGAATTTTAGAAATGGGATATTTGTGTTTACATAAATGGATGATTGAAGTGAAAATAGCTCCAGCTTATTCAATGAGACAAGTGAACATTCTCTGTGCAAATTGAACGTACATTTTCCAAGATGAACATTTATTTTGCTCAGTGAATGGTCAACCACATTGTGTTCATCAATGCCTATTAGTCTAGATTTTAGGTGTTTTTAAGTGTTGGGCAGTGCCAGGGGCACAGCAGGCTGTATAAGGTTGCTGGCTTGCACTAAATGCCTATAATTAGGGATGCACTGATACCGATTCTAGTATTGGTATCGGTGCCGATACCGAGTATTTGGGCGAGTATGCTCCGATACCTTCCCTGATACCGGGAGATTTCCTGTGACCGTCAGTGCTGCAAGGGAACATGGAGCCAGCTTCCCAGCCAATCATCATTGAACCAGCCAAACAGCATGGGGCAGGCTTCCCTGCCAATCAGGTAGCTGGGCGGCGGGTAACGACCCGCCTCCCGACTTCCTGATTGGCCAAGAAGCCATCTCCATGCTGATTGGCTGGGAAGTGGGCTTCATAGCCAATCAGCATCGAGCCGGCCTAATAGAAGGAGCCGGTTTCCAGGGCAATCAAGAAGCCGAGTGGCAGGTAATAACATGATGCCTGGCTTCCTGGTTGCCCGGGAAGCTGGCTCCTTGCCAGGGGAAGTACAGGTAATCGGTATCGGTTAGTACCGAAATATAAATATCGGTACGTGATACCGGAAAAAACGGTATTGATGCATCCCTACCTATAATGCAGATGTGTGTGCATAATCTGCAATTATTGCTACTGACCCTGGCACTCTGCCTTATTTACTCCTGAACTATGTCTATTACATACTTCTGATCCCTATATGAAGGCTCAAGTTTTACATTTTCCCACTCAGTTTTGCCACACCCACAATTTGTGACAAATGCCGCATCATTCCTCTCCTCTAGGTGACGGGGGGAGGGGGGGGCTAGTCATGTAGGCTGTATGGGGCCCCACAATATCTAATGGTGGCCCTGAGTACAATGCATTACCTGGCAATAGTTTGGAGGCTAAATATAATTGTGATATATTTGCCAGGATACAGGATATAAAATATGAATTCCAATTTTGCGATGTACTTGCCAGCATCCAAGATTTGTATCGGAGTATTTGCACGAGTACGAGTACTCATGCAAATACTCGGTATCGCCGCCGATACCGATGCTTTTATCGGTATCGGTGCATCCCTAATGTAAACCATAGGATCCAATTTTGTGGTGTATTTGCCAGCATGTACGACATAAAACAAGATCCATTTGTTTTAGGAGAAGCAGAGGATAAGAATATTTCTATGATGCTAAACATGAGAACAGAAGTACTGTATAGTGATACTCCACAGTGGGGTAGCAGAATAGTTTAAAACATGTTTTTAATCATTTTAAAATATGTGAATAATAAAGAATTCGAACAAGATTGCATATGTTTAACTATATGACATGTTTGTTTTTTAAAGTTATGTATTAAAACATATTGCTTGATATACAAAGGAAATACATGGAAATGAGGTAATCCATATAATGGCAACTTTCTTTAGAGTCTTTATGAGAAAAGTGGTACTCATTTTTCCATATAGTAAACCAAATACTTGGGGGTATTTATTCATGAAGCAGTAAATCTGAAATTCACCAAACATTCACTGCAGATGAATCATACTGGTGCATGGGTTTAAAATGACAGTGATTGATTCACTACCTGTGAATATTCAGTGAAAGTCACTCCCACTGCTGTTTTAAATATGTCTCTTTGTATTTTGATTAGTGTATTTAGGTTAGTTTAGTTTATTTCATTTGATTTTTTTTGTTTTTTTGTTTCTTATTTGTGATCATTTTTTTAAACAATCACTTTAATTTTAATTTGTTTTCCACTATCTTTATTCATTTTTATGAAACAAATGTGAAATAAAAGAACAAATAATAAGCAGTACAAGCATACCAATTTTTAACACAGTGCTGTACTGCATCCTAACTGATGTTACTAGATTAGTTCAGTACAAAAAATAGGGCTGTAAATTGAGCTTTAAGCTGGCCATTCATGGAGCAAATTTTGCCCGCTCCTTCAAGAATAGAACATTTTCAGTTGAACAATGACTGTAGCTGCAGTCACTGCAGGAGTATTTTGACAGCAGCACATTTGTCAATAGTTGCAACAGGCAACTCATCTATCCAGGCTGTGGATGAAGGAATCTGTTAATTTTTTTTCATTTATCATGTTGGCTGAGCAAAATAAAATCTTCTAGATTATGGCCAGCGTTTAATAGTGGAATTTACAAAGCAGTGCTGGTTTAAAAAGCTTAGAAAATGAGACAGGATGAAGGCTGAAAACCTGAAAAGCAGGGTATGCAGGTTCTTCAGAAACAATAAGCAAAACAGAATGCTATCTGCTGCCTATTGGTTGGGTTATCTTGAAGTCACACATATTAGTTAAGCGTCCTAACAAGCTGTCTTTGTTGCAAGATGGAGCTGGAGGAAAGATTGACGTTAATGAGAATGCACAACTCTTGTAGGAGGAAGCTACGGCGACTACATCCAAACTATTGTCTGGCTTGTGTTTGCGTTTTATTTTTCTTTGCTGTGGTCCTAAAATATGCCTCCTTGGACTGTGACCTGGATGATGCCATTCAAACCGGGGATGTGAATATCCCACACTGCCGGGATCACTACTACATGGCTTTGAACTTGTTGGCCAGTGGAAGAAAAAACTGTAGTAAAATTATTGAAGGTGACTGGGATGAGGTAAGACAGACTTTGATTGATAACTTGGATATCAAAAAAAGGAAGGTTATCACCAATTATATCGATTATTTAAAACTTACCAAAGACTGTGCAACATTTAAAAAAAATAAGAAGTATGTTCTGTTTAGTCTGAGCAATGAAGAAAGACATTATCCTATTGCCTATTCTATGGTGATCCATGGTGACATTGAGATGTTTGAGAGACTTTTAAGATCAATTTATACTCCTCAAAATATTTACTGTGTGCACATAGATGTGAAATCCCCAGACACTTATCATCAGGCTGTGCAAGCCATAGCTTCTTGCTTTGACAACGTGTTTGTTGCATCAAAACTGGAGTCGGTCGTATACGCTTCATGGTCACGAGTCCAGGCTGATCTGAACTGTATGGAAGACCTGTTGAAAAGTACTGTAGAGTGGAAATACCTTATCAATACCTGTGGAACAGATTTCCCTTTAAAGACCAATGCTGAAATGGTCACAACCTTAAAGTCATTAAATGGGAAAAACAACTTGGAGTCTGAAACACCACCTGCACATAAAAAACGAAGATGGGAATACCACTATGAAGTTAAAGGTCACATAATAAAGACTGATGTTAGGAAAGAACCACCACCCTCAAATATGCCGATTTTCACCGGCAATGCATATATAGTGGTCACCAGAGAATTTGTGAAATCTGTATTTGAAACAGCCATCGCAAGAGAATTTTTGGACTGGGCAAAGGACACATACAGTCCTGATGAGTTTCTCTGGGCTACACTTCACAGGGCTTCCTGGATGCCTGGATCTCTTCCCAAGAACAGGAAATATGACACATCAGACATGATTGCGCTAGCAAGGTTGGTGAAATGGGGGAGTCTGGAGGGGGACACTAACCAAGGAGCCCCTTATTCTGCATGCACTGGGAAACACAGAAGAGATGTGTGTGTGTATGGGACTGGAGATCTGCACTGGATGCTCCAGCAGCATCATTTATTTGCCAATAAATTTGACCCAAAGGTTGATGATCATGCCATTCAATGTTTGGAGGAACATTTAAGATATAAGTCTCTCTATGAGAAGATCATGTAACATATACTGCTCTTCTGTAAAACAAATTTTTTTGTTTGCGAAGTATTGCAATTGTGAAGTTAATATACGTGTTTGACACAAATGTTTTTAGTATTTAAAAAAACCAGGTCAGACAAAAGTGCATGTCATGTGATTCTCATATCCCATTTAGACACTAGAGGTCTAATGGTATGGAGAATTCATGCACGTGCAATAATATTCATTATTAAATGGACCAAATACCAAATATCCATTCTTTTTTCTGATACAGCGCATGCAGTGTATTGCGGTGCACTGTGGAGTTGGTGCATTGCACTACGTTGTGGTGTGAGTCAAAATTATCACCACAGTAAATGTGTATCGCTGTGTGCTGCGATAATGCTGCGATAATGCGCACTTTCCACAATGCACAGGTATCAGTGGGCTCTTAAAGTTGCCCTTTAGTACAGACTTATCACTGACTATAGATTCACAATATCCTAAAGCAGAATATTGGTCTAGTTAAAATCTGTGTTGTTTGGAAATGTTTAGGCCGAAATAAAATAAAAAAACTCACAAAAATATGCAAACCCCACACCTGACACACTCACAAATGATGTGTCTGTATATCCCTCCTCTGCAATGTTTCTTGCAAAGACAGGACTAAATTGCAAAAAATAAATGCATCACAGCAGCCAAGCTGTTTTTTTCTAAAACCAACTATGAATCAGCTCTGACACGCTGGAAGACACACGAGAATAAAAATGTAAGTCTGTGCATATATACACATGATATAGCCCACCAATGTCAACAAAGTGGCTTGTGTTGTAGTCACCAACCCACTGGCATCCACGGTGTTATTTAGAACACATTGCAGCATATGGGGTCCCACACCAAGGACTTCAAACAGTACTTAGTTTTTGATGATAAAAGTACATCCTTGGTGCGGGACACCTTTTGCTGCAATATATCCATGATACAGGTCACAGGGAGTTATTTTTTAGAAAATGCATGAGGGCAGGGGGTGGGTGGTACGTTTTGCAATTAGCTGCAAGTCTTGCTCAGCAAAGCCATTATAAGATAATAGGTAACTAAGGTAAAGATTATCATGTGGTACAAAAATCAAGTTTATCATACCTTCTAGCATCTAGTGTTAACACATACACGCTAAAACAACACCAATGAATGGGCTTATAAAGGCACTAAAACATGAAAAAAAGTCTAAACTCAGGGACATTAAGATAATTAAAACAGCCTATTACTCATTGTTTTTCTGAGAGATGGGCTCAAACACAGTAATATACACCTGATTCCATGGTTTTGTGGTAGCCGATAATCCCGTTTCTGGCAGTAAAATGTGGGCACTTGTACTGTGTCTGTGAAGGTTCTCATTCATCCAGGTCATGTTATATCTGTAAAAAATAAATCAAAGAAACTATACTTGCTGTATTTTTCTAAGCAAGTCCAGTTGCCTTGATTGTTTGTTTTTTTACAGATACTTCTTCTGTGGTCACAACCCCTTCCCTGATGACATGGTCGCTGGTCCTGCACTGGTAATGCAGTTTTTGTGAAGTTGGTGAGAGGTGGTGACAACATGACCGGTCAGGAACTAGCATGCACAATGGCTTTGACTGACTGGTCATTATACCTGGAACTGGCCGGAAGGAAGATTGCAGAACCCCTGAGTATGCTGAGTATTGTGTACTAACTCATCCCCGAGAAAGAAAGAGCAACAGATCATTTTTAATGTGCCTGAAGTTAGGTTTTAAAGCAGAACTGCTCTTAAAAAAAATCTCAATTAAAACAGATATACAACACCATATACATATGCAATACATTACATTCTGAACACTCTAGTGTATCTACTTTTATAAATATGTTAATTGTTAGATATTTTAATGCCAGTAAATTAAGGCAGTTGAACGCAATCACCTAAGTGTCAATCTAATTGGGAAAGGTCATAACTCTGGTTTAACTACCTCCCGGCCGGCCCTTGTGTATACACGGCCGGCCGGGAGCTTCTTGGATGTAACTGGGCGTGTATACATGTCCTGTTAGTGCGGCCCACACTCCGCTGTGCCCGGTGCGAGCCCAGGACCAGCATAGTGGCTCTCTGACAGGGAATTAGAGGGAGGTTGGTTCACGATCTCCCTCCGGTCCCCTCTCTGCTGTCAGAATGTGGAAGTGGTGTCTATTACACCACTTCCGCATTCACGTGTCACTCTCCAGCTTCAGATGCTGGAGAGAAGTTGATGAAGCAGATCTCCGCTTCATCAGCTTCTTCAGGGGGGTCCTAGGTGACATTAGGGGTCTTGGAGACCCCTGATGTCTCCATAAAGAGGACCTGTCACTTCTTTTGCTATCACATATAGGGGTTTCTTAGCCCCCTCTGTGATAGCAATAAAGTTAAGTGAAAAAAAAAAATTGGAAAAAAATGTAGTTTCCCCCCAAAAAAAATTTAATTTTTTTTTTAAAGTCCCCACTCCTACATACACACATGTAAACATGCATCAGGTGTGCATATCTGCGAAAACGATGTTACATATCGCCGCCAACAAGGCAGTGAGAGCAATAATTTTAGGGCCATCAATCACTGATAACACTAAACTGATGAGCGGTAAAAGCTTTAAAAGCGTCGCCTATGGCCAATTTTGGGTATGCTAGTTATTTGCGATTTCGCAAGTGCGCGCAATTTTTAAGCTTGACATGTTTGGTGTCTATTTACCCAACGTGACCCGATCTTTTATATTTTACCAAAAAAGTGCGTAATATTAGTTGTTTTATAACATAAGGTAAAATGTCAGTAATTTTTTTCTGAATATAGTAGAAAATAAAACCCCCAGTGGTGATTAAATACCACCAAACGAAAGCTCTATCTGTTCCAAAAAAATGGTATAAAATTCATTTCAGTACAGCGTTGCATGACGGAATAAATGTCAAAGTACTGCAGCGCTAAATACTGAAAAATGGCCTGGTCAGGAAGGGGGTCTAAACACCTGGTCTTCAAGCGGTTAAATTGTGTAAACATTTATAAATAGACCCCCAAATATACACTCCTGTTTATCAGCCATATAACAATACTAAATATACCAAAACTCACACATATTTGGATCTCTGTATTGTGGAAAAAATAAGGAACTGAAACCCATTATAACTGCACAGGCAAACATGACATTTTAAAATTATTTTTGTCCATTTTTGTGTTTGCAATAAAAATATATAATGTGTCCATTAAAAAAAAAACACCAAAAAACCATGTTGCATGCAAACTGACACCCACCAGATCTGTAAAATTTAGTCTGGTTGGGATGGTTCCTATTACCTGTGATAATGAACAGGTTAAAATGCCTTCTGGTTTCATTATAACTATCTCTGTACATTACTCCCAGGACATATCAAGTGATAAGCCCTTGATTACTGATGAGTCATAAATGGCGGAAAAAGACTTGTAGATTGTTACTCTGGGTAACATGGTCTGAACAACAATATGAGCCCCAAAGAGAGTATGGAGTTCAAATCAAATGATATAAGATCATTCTAAATTACATTGTGATAACTTACATTAGATTCAATCATTCATCAGCTTGCAGTATACTCTGGCAGTTGTGCTACAATCTTTTTAGGTCAAGGACCTGACTTTGGCTTGGTAGCAAAGAGATCCCCAAATTTTCCACTTCTTAATAAGTGATTGAACAGTACTGACTGGCATTTTCACGGCTTTGGATATCTTTTTATATCCTTTTCCATCTTTATAAAGTTCCATTACCTTGTTACGCAGGTCTTTTAACAGTTCTTTTCTGCTTCCCATGGCTCAGCATCTAGCCTAAATAGTAAATAGACAATAGTAAATAGACACCAAACATGTCAAGCTCTGAAATTGCGCACACCCGCAAAATCGCAGAAAACTACCATACCCAAAATTGACCATAGGCGACACTTTAAAAGCTTTTACCGCTCATCAGTTTAGTGTTATCAGCAATTGATGGCTCTAAAATGATTGCTCCCACTGCGACGTTCACGCCGATATGTAACATGTGCGGCATAATGAACGCAATCGTCGTTTTTGCACGTATCCGCACCCGACGCATGTTTGTGTGCGTGTATGTATAGGTGGGGACTTCTAAAAAAAAAAAAAAATTTAAATTCTTTTTCATGTGTGACTTTAATTTTTTTTTCTTTTTCACTTAACTTTATTACTATCACATAGGGGGCTAATAAAACCCCCCTATGTGATAGCAAAGATATGTGACAGGTCCTAAGACATCAGGGGTCTCTAAGACCCCTAATATCACCTAGGACTCCCCTGAAGAAGCTGATGAAGCACAGATCTGCTTCATCAGCTTCTCAAGCTAGAGAGTGACACAAGAAAGCGGAAGTGATGTAATATACAACACTTCCTCATTCTGACAGCGAAGAGGGGACCGGAGGGAGATCGTGTACTGACCTCCCTCTGATCCCCTGTCACAGAGGCACTATGCTGGTCCCGGGCTCGCACTTAGAGTCTCCAAAGTTATTAGATCAGAAGAGCAGATTAGACTGTATATAGTGTTAAAGTTATAATCTTCCACAATATTGGAATACCTTAGGATTTTCTAGTGCAGTCATGAACATAGGGTTTCCCATTAGTGAAGACATAGGTAGATGAGATTAATCAACTAGAAAATGTAAGGGAGTGCCATACCGTTAAGGAATGGTGTAACATGGGGCTAATGGAGAAGGGAAGGAGGCGGTTGGGGATCCATAGGAGAGAGGTGATACAGACTGGAAAAGAGTATGGAATTTCCAAGAGGCCAGCAGAAGTTTGAGTTTCTGAAATAGTGGTGGGTAATATATATATATATATATATACACTTGTGCTCATAAGTTTACATACCCTGGCAGAATTTATGATTTCCTGGCCATTTTTCAGTGAATATGAATGATAACACGAAAACCTGTCACTGATGTGTAGTGTTTGGCTGAAGCCATTTATTATAAATCAACTGTGTTTACTCTTTTCCAATCATAATGACAACAGAAACTACCCACATGACCCTGATCAA